CCAATCTGTGGGGTCTGTTGGAGGTCCTAGGTCTCTTTCCCATGCGGAGACGTACCCTAGCGATTGGGTGTTGGTTGCCCTGAGTAGTTGTGTGTGTATATTGCAGAAATCTGGCTTTTTTGTATGGGGGCATGGATACACGATTTTTCAAAGGTGGTGAGAGGGGTGATTCCGGCTTGTTTATATGTGGGAGTTTCCAATAGGTTTCTGATTTGTAGATATCGGAAGAAGTCATGTGTGGTAAGTGGTCTGGTTTTTGGTAAGTCCTTGAACGCTATGATTTTTTGGTTCTGGAAGAATTGGTATGTCCTGATTAAGTCATTGTCTTCATAGTGCGCAAAGTCTTTTGGGGTCATGCCTGGTGTAAAGTGTTCATTTCTTAAGATTGGTGTCAAGGGTGAGGGGTTGGACGTGAGTGCGTGTTTTATGGAGAGTTTGTTCCAGAGGGTTATAGAGGTATCGAGTGCTGGTGTGGTTCGTGGGAGTGGTGGTCGTGCTCCCTTTGGTACCCAGATATATAGGGAAGGGAAATCCTGACCAAACAGGTCGTGTTCAAGGTCTGCCCATCTCCTTAACCCAATGGGGGCGTGGAGTGCCTGGATTTGTGCCATTTGTGCTGCGTGAAAGTAGTGAAGAAAGTGGGGGAGGCCGAGACCTCCTGCTCTTGTCGGGAGGTAGAGGATATCCCTCCTAATTCTTGCTCGCCTGTTGGTCCAAATGAAGCGATCAATTTGTGTTTGTAGTAGTTTAAAGTCTTTGGTAGTTATTTGGACTGGTAGTGTTTGGTATAGATGTAAAAATCTCGGTAAGAGGTTCATCTTTATGCATGCCACCCTTCCGAGCCAGGAGATGGAGTGGGATTCCCAAATTTTAAGGTCGGCCTTCGCTCTTTGTAGTAGGGGGGAGTAGTTGAGTCGGTATGTCTGGGATACGTCTGCTGGTAGGTCTACCCCTAAATAGTGTATGTGTGTGGGATTGAAATGGAACGGGTAGTTAGTTTTTAGTGTATCGAGATCCTCTTGAGGGATTTGTATTGGCAGTGCTTCTGTTTTATCTAGGTTGAGGCGGTAGCCTGAAACCTGTGAGTAGTCGTTTATGGAGCGCAGTAGTGGTGGGAGCGAGTTAGTTGGGTCTGTAATGGTGAGGAGTAGGTCGTCTGCATATCCCGCCACTTTATATTCTTCCTTTCTAATGTGTACGCCCGCTATCGATGGGTCCATGCACAGGGCTTGTAGTAGGGGTTCCAGAGAGAGGGCAAATAGGAGCGGGGAGAGGGGACAGCCCTGTCTTGTTCCGTTAAAGATGCGGAATGATGGGGATTGAGTGTTCGGGATTAAGAGGTTCGCCTCTGGTGCTGAGTATAGAGTTCTGAGTGCGTTAAGGATTGGGTCGGGGAACTGGAATTTGTGTAGGGTAGCGAAGAGAAAAGGCCATAGTAGTCGGTCAAATGCCTTTTCAGCGTCCAGGGATAGGAAAAGGGTAGGAATGCGTCGGTGTGAGGTCACCCATAGAAGGTCGAACGTCCGTCTAGTGTTATCATATGCCTGTCTGGAGGGTATAAAGCCGACTTGGTCTGGGTGTATGAGCTTATGTAAGTGGGGGTTTATTCTGTCTGCGAGTAGCTTAGTGAGTAGCTTTATGTCTACGTTCAGCAGCGAGATCGGTCTATAATGGCTCGGGTCTAAGTGGGTTTTGTTTGGTTTGGGGAGAAGGCAAACATTCGCTCTCAGTAAGTCGGGAGGTATGGGGTTTCCCTGCAGTATTGAATTGAACAGATTGCAGAGGTGTGGGAGGAGTGCAGCTGGGAACGTCTTGTAATAGAGTCCTGTGAAGCCGTCTGGTCCTGGACTCTTGTTGGGTTTGGTGTTTTTGATGGCTTTGGCGATTTCTTCGATGGTGATTGGTTCGCTAATTTTGGAGATGGCTTCTGTCTTTAGGGCCGGTAAGGGTATCTGCCGTAGGTATGTGTCTATGGTTTGCCTGGTGTCTTCGGGATGTTGACGTAGGTTGGGGCTATGGTCGTATAGTGTGGAAAAGTACTTTTGGAAGACCTCACCGATTTTTGTCGGAGTAGAGTGTTTGGTGCCGTCCGGTGTTTGAATTACGTCTATTCGTTTGTGATCAGTCCTACGTTGTAATTTTCAGGCTAGTAAGGTGTCAGCTTTGTTGGATTTTTCATAGTAGGTCTGTTTCGTCCATTGTATGGCTTTGGTCGCGTCTTTAGTCATGAAGTCTTTAATTTTGGTTCGGCATTCTGTTATTTCATTGAGGATGTCTTGTGTGGGATTTCGTTTATGGCTTGTTTCTAGGGTCCTAAGGTTTGTGAGGGATTTTGCTAGGTCGGCTAGTTGGGCTTTCTTTTGGTGTGACGCGAGGCTTATGATTTTGCCTCTTATGACTGCCTTATGGGCTGCCCATAGTATGCCCGGTGAGGGTGCCGAGGGCATGTTTAGTGAGATGTAGTTTGTTAATTCTGTTCGTATTGCTTCCGTTGTCTGTGGGTAATGTAGTAGTGTAGGGTTTAATTTCCAGGACCATGGTCTGGCTACGTCGGGGACCTTAATAGTTATTGTGATGTCTGCGTGGTCTGACCATGTAATGTTGCCTATGTTGGCTGTTTGGATCATTTGTGTGAGGGAGGGTGAGATTAGAAAGAGGTCGATACGGGAGTACGAGTTGTGTGGGTGGGAATAAAATGTGTAGTCCCTGGTGGTCGGGTGGAGCAGGCGCCAGATGTCTACCAGTCTCTGTCGCAGCACGAAGTCTTGTAAAAGTTTGTCTATTTTGGGTACGGGGTTTGGGGGTCTTCTCGTTCTGTGTCTGTCAATTGATGGTGACATCATGGCATTGCAGTCTCCGCCTATTATTTTGAGGTGGCCTGGGGTTAGGGCTAGGTGGGCTTGAAAAGTGTCCCAGAACATTTTGTCTGGGGTGTTTGGGGTGTATAGTGAGGTGATAGCGTATAGGTTGTGCCCTGCCTGTCCCGTAAGTGTGATGAACCTGCCTTGTGGGTCTTTTATAATTTGTCTGGTGCTAAGTGGGCACGTTTTCCGCATTAGGATAGCTACTCCGTTTTGTTTAGTTGTGGGTGAGTTTGCCATATGGCATTCCCGGTAGTGTCGATTAGTTAGGGGGAAGGGTTTGGTCTGTGTAAAATGGGTTTCTTGCAGCAGAATTATGTCCGCGTTTGATCGGTTTGCCCATCTCATCAGTTGGTGTCTTTTTGCCGGGTTGTTAAGGCCCTTGCAGTTGGTGGAGATGCATGTCAGTTTGGTGCTCATAGTGTCTGGTTGTGGTTTTGATTAGGTCTATTCCCGGGGCGCCGGCGGTGTTTAGTGGCCAAGTGTCTCGTTATTCGTACTGTGGTGATGGGGATGGGGGGGTCTTGGGTAGGCCTGGGGTAGAAGGGTTAGTTATGTGCTTGTTCGTTGGTGGTCTGTCTCGTGCTAGGGAAGCTGGGCTCTTAGATGTAGGGGGTCAGGGGTTCGCCTTTTAGATGAGGTAGTGGGGAGTTGGGGGGGGATGGTTCCCGGTTTGGGTTTGTTCCCCTGGTCTTATACCTAGGTTGCCAGACTCGATGGGGGCGGAGGTTGAGGGGATGTAGGTACCCGCAATTGAGTGCGGTCCTTTTCCTTATCCCTCTTGAGGGTACTGGTGTCCTGGTGATGGGGAACACCAATGGTTCCCTAGTGGGGGGGGGTTGTTGTGATGAGGTCGTATGTGGTGGGTTGGAGCTGTCTGGAGGGGAGATAATCCCTAGCTCCCGTCCTCTCCGAGCCTTGTGTGTGTTACCTGAGTTATGGTGTGTTGTCGGGTCGCTAGGTGCCGACTGCTTGGTGTCGTTAGAGGGGGAGGGCCACGGTTGAGTCCTAGACATAGAGGTGGTAGGGCTTTCCGGTATCTGTGAAGAGAATATGCAGGTTATTGATTATTGACTGTCGCTATCCTGTATAGTTTGTGCTTGGGTTTATGGGGGCCTGTGTAAGCCGGAGCCAGGGGACCAACTGTATGATATCAGTAAGATGTCTTGGCGGTAAGCCGTCTGTACTGCCTCTGGTTATTAACGGGTGTGAGGGTCAGTTTGCTATAGGGGAGGGTACCTTTGTATGTGCGGTATTTTTCTCTTTTTCTTTCTTTTTTTTTTTTTTTGTTTCCTCTTTTTTTTTTCCATTGTTCCTTTTCTTTTTCTTTTCCTCTTTCTTTGTTTTTTGGTCACCTTTCCCTCCCTTTCCTTTCCTCGATTCTTCCCCTCCTTGCCCTTCTCTTTCCCCTTTGGGTGACAGTAGGAGTAACCGCCTAGTCCCCGGTGTGTCAAGTTTACTTTACTTCTCAGGGTATAATGGCCTATCTCGTGTTTTGTTTTATCTTATTCTGTTTTTTTCCCCTTGTGTGTGTAGGAAAACGGTGGTAGTAGTAACTTTACGATCATACGTTTTATCCTTAGTACATCAGGGTCATTTGACATTTCAGAGTGTTTATCCTTTCCTTCCCCTTTCCTTAGCAAAACACATAAAATAATAATATTAATAATAAAAAAATAAAAAAAATAAAAAAGGGAGAAAAAACCCCTGCATGTAGAAAGCCTATACGACAATGGTAATAATGATAAAGTTAAACATTTTGTCCTGGGTACAGCAAAGTTTTGTATCTCCCTATCCCTCTTTTCCCTTTTCCTTCCCTCCCTTCCTCTTTCCGTATTGGGGGTCTGGTGGCTGCCCGGGCCAGGGCATAAGGAAGGTCTGTCTGCCGAGTGGGTGGGTTGGGCCTTTCCCTTCGGGGTGAATAGTGTTCAACCTGGGCCTAGTGACGGTGCCGGTCGGGCCTGCACCCCCAAAATGGGTAACTTTAAGTATAGAGGGGGACAAGGGTACCTTATGGGATAGGTGTTTTAGGCCCCGGCCTGTAGTTCGGACTGGTCTTTATATAGGGTCATTAACGTTCAAACCTCCCTATAAACATTATAACAGAAACATGTATAAACGTTAGAACATTATAACATTTCAGGGCATACAGGCCTGAGTTATCGTTTGGTTTTCTAGGCTATCTTCTAGAAATTGAACTTTATCGCTTAGGTAGAAGATATCTTGGCTGTGCTGGGTCGTGGTCGCTTTAATTTGTGTTATGGCAGTTTCCGCTTGTGATGTGCGGTTGTTCAGGGTCTCGATTTCTCCTTTGAGGCCTGATATGTGCCGCTCCAGTTCTGCGGCCGTGTGTGCCTTGATGTCCGCTGAGGCGGCCAGCAACATCTGGTGAAGGTCAGTTTTGGTTAAGGGTTCTTGTGTACCTGGATAAGTGGTTGTTTCTCTGTCTGGAGCCTCACTGTCGTCTGAGTCTGCTCCGGATTCGTGAGCTTCCTGGCTTAAAGATGGCCGCCCATGATCCATGGTGGCTCGGAACATGGATGCCACCGATAGTGGGGTTTCCTTTTTTTTTTTGTTTCCCCCCATTGTGATGCTGAGTGGGAGGCTGTGTGGGTGTATTGGAGACCGTTTGTGCGGCTGTATGCCCGGTAAAACGTGCCGATGTTGGCGGATTCAGGCTCGTGGACGGGAGAGCTCAGGCTTCACACGTCCTGCTCCATTGGTGTTCAGGCTCCGCCCCCCGCAAAGTAAGAGTTTTTAACCTTTTTTTATAATAAATTAAGAAAGATACTATTCAATTAGGGGTTTCTGCCTCTCTCCTTCCTGTATTGCATGGAATCATCTGTTCACTGGGAGCATACCATCCACATCCTGTCAGCACAGTGTCGGATACTTCACTCTCCAGTGGAGCTTTTCAAACCCAGCGCCAGGGGTGATAGGGCTCTGGTCCATGTGAGTTCTCCCCATTACTCCTTATTGTACATTACACTATACAGATTGTGCACTATATGTTTTTCTGTTATCTATAGATCAATTTTGTCATCAGTTAAATCACGCTTTTTTGTGGTAATATTATTCTTATTGATGTAATTTTATCTTCGTGTCTTTCTCTCTTTAAGCAAATTTTTTTTTTCTTAATTCTTTTTTGTTGTTGTGCAGGTGGGTACAAAACTGAGTCATATGCCACAACAGCGTGCATTTATATTTGAACATAGATAGGTGAAACAGTGGCATAGAGAATTTGCACTTTTTTTGTTTTGAAAAACATAATGATAATTCGCAGCAAGTCAATATATGAGCAGTGAGGTAACAAAGACATGCTAATTGCCAGTAGATTAAGCTAGAAGTAAATAAAGATAAACATGCTGAGCCTATGAGTAACCTAATCTATCTTTTGTGAAGATTCCTTTGGGTATGGATTCAAATGGGGGTAAGATATGGAAATAACATAAGTAGCCTGCATCCGTGCCACCATTATTAGTATACCACCCCAGGCTGTATTGAGACATTTTAGGGACATCCTTAATGACCTGCCACTTATGCAAATGCGATTTCTGCTTCAAGACTTAGTATAAGGATAAACATATGGCTTTGGCAAGGCTGAGTAAGTGAAATAGTGTAGGTCTGTTCATGAGCAAGAGGGAGCATGGTATAAACAGTGGGAAGGGGCAAAACCTGCAGCTCTAACATGGTGGACAGCCTATCCCCTGTACTGGAAATTCACAGTCCCACATGGTATGTGCTTCCTTCTTCGGAGCCGTTGAAGCCTGCTGCGGGTCCTGGGTCTGCAGCTGCTTCCCCATCTCTCTCCCTCTAGATTCACCTCTCTCCTGTGTCTCCTGATGGTGTATAGCTGCCAGGTTCGTCGCAGCTGCTTTCCTGAAGCGTCGGCGATGTGCCCTTTGCCTTCTCCGTCTCGCTGGGACCTTGATGACAGGAGCCTTATGTTGTGGGTTGCTTCTGGTAAGATTAGAGGGCGTCACACCGGGCTGTGGGGCAGGTAGGGTCAGCTTTCTCTCCAGCTTTTCCCAGAAAGCAGCAAATAGGGCTTCCAGGCGGTAGTGAAGAGTGGATGCCTCTTCATGCAGCTCTAGGTGTCTCGTGGCATCCGCCATTTTATAGATCTCTTTGGCTGTTTCCTCGGCATGTTGTACGATACCACGATTGCCTGTTGGGTGTTGGCAGCCGTCAAGGTGAGGACCGGGATCACCCCCACCTGTCCAAAAGGAGGGGGGGGGTAGCAGGGCATCTCTTTCACGTTTGGGGCCATGCCTGTGCCTGTCCAGGAGAGCGGCCACCTCTCACCTCCGAGGCACCTACTAGGCCGTATTTTGCTCTGGCCACTGGAGTGCTCGAGAGAATCGCCGGGCTTGGTCCCTGATCCCTCATTCACGTCGTGGTGCGAAGAGTAAGTGTCAGGTTTAAAAGTATTTGTGGTATTAAAACTGATTGTCCATTTTATACAGTGTGTCTCAGGGAGCTCCCCACACACGTCCACTCGCCATGCTGGTCAGGCCCCGCCCCCCCTTTAAGCAAATTCTATCTAACATGCCTAAATATAAACAAATTATGCTAGGTCATCTTTTGATCTCAGCAAATTCTATCATCTCCCAACACTGGAAATCACCCACTATTCCAACTGTGGGTGAAGTTTTATCTGCAGGATTTGAAAGTAAAAGGTGTGAAGTGGCTTTCTGTGAACCATCTGCATTCATGTCTATACTGCAGCATGAATGGTCCTTGTGGGAAGATAATGTGAAAAAAGAATACAGACTTTAAAGGACCACTCTAGGCACCCAGACCACTTCAGCTTAATGAAGTGGTCTGGGTGCCAGGTCCTTCTAGGGTTAACCCATTTTTTTTATAAACATAGCAGTTTCAGATAAACTGCTATGTTTATGAATGGGTTAAGCCTTCCCCCAATTCCTCTAGTGGCTGTCTCATTGACAGCCACTAGAGGCGCTTGCGTGCTTCTCACTGTGATTTTCACAGTGAGAGCAAGCAAGCGTCCATAGGAAAGCATTGTAAATGCTTTCCTATGCGACGGGCTGAATGCGCGCGCAGCTCTTGCCGCGCGTGCGCATTCAGCCCAGGAGGAGGAGAAGAGGAGGATCGGAGGAGGAGAGCTCTCTGCCCAGCGCTGGAAAAAGGTAAGTTTTTAACCCTTTTCCCCTTCCAGAGCCGGGCGGGAGGGGGACCCTGAGGGTGGGGGCACCCTCAGGGCACTATAGTGCCAGGAAAACGAGTATGTTTTCCTGGCACTATAGTGGTCCTTTAACCATGTTCCCACCTCACTGAATACTTATTCTGCTTACTGTTTTGTTTTTTTGTTTAGTACCAGGCTATAACTTATTTATTTTTACTTCTGTACATATTTTACTTGTCTCATATATTAAGGAAATTATAATTTGTATGTATATTTTATTTTTTATGGTTTTTATTTGACAATGATTCATAAGTTAGTGTATATATATGTCATTATTATGTTAACTGTTATTCTATATTACACAAGACATGAATAAATAAAATATTAAAATAATCTCTCGATATACAGCTAAGAGATTCCACCTTAGTTATCTAACCCTTTCTTTTATATCCCTTAAATGTCATTTTTCTTTTCTTTTTTGTCATAATTTTCATGCATTATCTATGAAACACATTAAATAGTTTTTATTTCCAGCATACTTTGACTGTTTTAGCAGATAAACATATTAGTTTACTTATATTGTTATGTAAGTTCCTAGCAACCATCTCCAATGAATGCTTTATTAAATGATGAGATGGTGTTGATCTATGTTTACATGTAGTTATTGAATAGATAAATCATTTCAGTGTACAAAGATTGCCCTGATGATATGCACATAAACACATACTTTCCAAAGAGTAAACAAGACTTATAGCAGAATCACATGACAAGGTGATGTAACCGAAGAGAGGGTAAAGAAAACAAACAGCAAAAATTGATTCTGTGCTAAATAGATTTATCGGTACGTGTAAAAAACAAAATTTAAAAAAACAGCCTTGTTAGTTTGACAAAACATCAAATTAGAGTCCTTAACTAACGTTGCCAAAACTGATTTTGTGAAAAGCTTTACTTGAAAACACGTAGAATTTTAAAATGAGTATAAATTGCATAACTTGTTTGCACAACTGTTGCTGAAATGCCTCAGAAATTGCAGGAAGCAGGGTAACCAGTTCGCCTTTTGTAAAGAATGTTGAATGACCTTATTTAAACAAAGGGAAGTGCTGCTGCCTCTTTTACACTTGACAGGGAATAAAAATAAAAATGTGAAGAATGCTTTGATTGCATATGCACCATTCTGCCATAAATTGTGATGACATGTTGGCAGTAGAGTAAATTTCTTGTAATTAGCATGGCAGTGCAAAAAACATTGTGTGTATTTACTTAAATGTTGATGAAACATATGGAAAGCATGCTGACTTGGGAAAAATACCTTAATTAAGAAGAAACTATTGATTTGAAGGACTTTTTTTATTTATTGTTTTATATGTAGACAGAATGTTAAAAAACAATCATGGATTAATTCAATAAAAATTATGAAAATTGCCGGGTACTATATAATGTTTCCAAAAGAACCACAGTTGATGTCACCGACACCACTACTCCAACACACATAACTTAGTTCAATGGGTAAAAGGGTTAAATATCACTATTTGTCTGCACTAGACCCAAAATAATGATAAAAAAATAAATTTTAACATCACCAACACGTATATCTAGTATCAAAAGCTGCCACCAGGCAATTGATAAATGGGATGCCTTGGGCTGCCCCATCAAATTACACTTAAACGTCTCAAAACACAAATTAGCAAAATATCTATGTGACGATAAATTCTATTAAGAAAGTCTCCAGGTATTGTAATTCTTATCTCAGACAAAGGCAGAATATAAAGAAAGAACATTTATTATGAGCAAAAATAGCATACATAGTAAAATAGATGATAAATAAATAAATTACACCAACAAACAGATGAAAATAAAAACCAGACAATCCTAATTACTCTGCTAGTACGGTAATTGTACCTTCTGTTCCCAGGGGATCCGCCAAGCAAAATGGCAAATCACTCAAAATTAGATTTTGCCCCCCAGCAAGTGTCATAGTCATTTGCATCACATAGATTTTATACCCTTTGCACCCATCTCAAGTTTCCCAACTGTCCCCGTAGGAGTTATAGGGTGGAAGGTAGGAGTGCCTGCAGCAATTCCAGGTTGATGACACCTCCCATCTTACCTTTAGCCAAGTGTATGAAAATGTCTCTTGGTGTACATAAGGTACAAAAATAATTTTTTAATCTGTGGAATTGTTACAATTTTGTTTGTGAATTTTTTTTATTAGTTATTCAAGAGAGTACACTAAAATGGTGTGAGCATCAGTGAAACTCACAGTTCTCAGTATGAGAGTAAGTATAAAACAGAAGAAGAAATAATGCGTAAGTGGAAGCTCGCAGGTTTCCATTCACAAACCATTACAGGAGACATGCAAGTCTCTAGAGAAACACGTAACAGAAAACTGAGGAAAACATGCATTGTGGCACATACCCTGGTAATGGCATTGGATATATGAGTAAGAAGGTGGTGAAAGGCACTATAACAGAGTTGAAACAGTCCAGGTTCTCCGCGCCATAGGGGAGAAAGGGAGGGGATGGAAAGAATAGAGAGAGAAAAAATGGGAGGGGGGTGGGTGTGACAAAGGAATGACGGTGTTCCCATCTCTGTTCCTTGCCACCCCAGTCCAAAGACGGAGCCTTCTCTCTGTCAACCTGTAAGCTCTCTTGTGGATCTGATATCTGCTTTATCTTGCCAATCAGGTTCTGTGTTTATCAGGGGTAGGAAATCAGCAGATGCAGTGTTGAGTATCTCGTGAGTCCAGATATTGAGGTATGTCTGGGATCCACCGCTAGATTGGAAAATAAGGTCCTCCATGGAGCGAAGCCCCTCCATGTGTCAGAACCAAAGAGTGAGTGGACGGGGTGTCTCTTTCTTCCAGAACATCAGTATTGGTTCTTGGCCACGTTTAGGATTCTTATTGTTAGGGTCTTTTTGTATATTGAGGGTCGGAGTTTAGTATAATGCAGCAGAAGCGGAGCTGGGAGCAAAGGGGTACATTGTCTGAGAATTTCTGAAATATTATATAGGTTTAACTCCAAAATGGATGGATGAGGTCGCAACTCCACCACAAAAGAATATCCATCTCCTGTCCGCATCTCCAGCATCTATCTTAGATAGATGGTATTATTGCGTGCAATGTTTGAGGGGTCCTATTCCACAAGGCCAATAACAAATATGCAGATTCCTAAATCTTGCGGGAAATGGTGCAGTGATGTGACAAGTTACACATATGTAGCCACTGCGTGGTGGTGAAAGTTTTGCCAAGTGTTGTCTCCCAATTCCCTATGAAGCTAGGGGGCGGTAACCTTCTCTGTTGTAAAATCAGGTTGTACAGGAAAGATATCCTGTGTTCAAAGGAGGCTGTCTTCTAAGTGTGCTCGAGCTGAGTGAGATCCCGTTGGAGGAGTGGTCTCTGCGGCATGGAGTAGCAAAACTCAGTTAACTGCATGTAGCAGGCTTGTTGCATTAAATTTGAGCTGACTGCGCCTCTCAATAAAGCCATGCTTCTAACTCAACTCTCGTGCAACAAATGCAGCATCTGGAGAATGACGGGAATGGTACAGGATATAGCGGAGAGGGTAAGGAGTAAGTGCTTGTGAGTGCCAAATGTGTACTTCTAATTGTCGATTTGCATATCAGAAGAGCCCAACATCTGCTAAGCAATGAAAAGGTAGGCAACCAAAGGGTCTTGGGAAAAATACATAATTATTGGCAGCTGAATCTTTGGCTTAAAGGGATACTATAGTGTTAGGAATACAAATGTGTATTCTTAACGCTATAGTTCGCTCTGCCTCCCTCCCCACTTGTGCCCTCTTATCACCCCTGGCACATAAATGGTTATAAACTCTTTTATCATCGCCGATGTCCCTTGGGGCTGGGTCAGCACTCCACTTCCTCTGACATCATCTGACGAGGGGAGTGGGGGGAGGCTAATGAGCATATGCCCTCCCTATAGTTAGACAGACCAAAAGTCCAGCAAAATCC